AGAGAAGAGAAGAGAAGAGAAGAGAAGAGAAGAGAAGAGAAGAGAAGAGAAGAGAAGAGAAGAGAAGAGAAGAGAAGAGAAGAGAAGAGAAGAGAAGAGAAGAGAAGAGAAGAGAAGAGAAGAGAAGAGAAGAGAAGAGAAGAGAAGAGAAGAGAAGAGAAGAGAAGAGAAGAGAGTAATGGTGACAAGCAGCAATACCATCATCAGAAAAAAAGGTGTTTTAATTCTATGAATGATTTTATAACTCACCATTTAATGCACCAAGAACAGCAAGAATCAGCCAATAGGACAGCATGGCTCTGCTGACAAATAAGTATGTCTTTCAATAAACGCGGCGATCCATACCACCTTTCCTTGAAATTGAAACTTCACTGTTGTTTTTTTATTATAAATTTAAACACTTTCGAATAAAAAAATTGTTGTCCTCGCTATATTTTACTCTTTTAAAAAGTAAAATTATGTTATTCGGGCCTTATACTTGTGATAATCAGTTCTCACTAACTCTTGTAATCGATAAAACTCATGTTTCAGTTCTGGTCTGTGCAATCATAAAAATCACGTTTTCATAGCCAACTAACGTACGCCGCACAAGAAAATCATTCGATCTCCGTTAAAATATACCTATTTCAAAACCGGTTGTGGGATAAAATGGCGAATGTCAATTGGTCGAACGGCAATTGCATGACCGAAAGTAGTCATGGGTTTTGCTAGTTGATGAGAAATAACAACTGATTTATATTGTAAGATGGTCTGTGGTAAACATTGACTCCATTTAGTCTCCATTTCTATACAAGATGTATCCAGGTTTTGTTGAGGTTTTGTTTGTCAAAACAGTGAACCATAGTCCCTTCGGCCGTGCAATCCCAATTCGGTGTATCCCACGTCAAAAGTACAGTGGCGAATGGTAGTCAAGGGACTGGTTATAACGCGGCCTGTCCTGGTCAATTTTTTCTGTCAACTAAGGAAACGACAAGGAAAGAGCAGCCCGGACCATTAGACCCTAATCGGGCTCGAAAAGATAATTATTTTTCAAGAAAGATTTAAGATACTCTTTGTATTCTTGACTATCCAAAGGCTTGCAATTTTCCAGATTTTTTTTTCTACGTAGTCTTGCAGTGATAAATGGATCAAAATGTGCATCGTCTAATAAGTTTTATTGCAATGTAAGTCATTGTCAGTGATTATTTCTTTTTGTGTATTAGATCATTATTAGCTCGTACGGTAACATCAATTTGCGGCAGCTTCAAAGTTATTCTTCGTTCGTTAATCTAGCCAAAAAAATAGCTTAGAGGTCCTAAAAACCGAGCTCAATCTAAAAAGAATACCGTCGATTCAGTATTCCTTTGATCCTGGCAACCGAATCCATCCGATAGACTACTAAAATTGGAAGCTCGATGTTTTCTTACAAAATTGTTTTACGATGGTAAGTACTGGCGTAGCTGTGTCATGATAACAGGTTAATGGAAGAAGCAAGTTATAAGACTGCAGTAGCTATGTTTGCCGTTCACCAGGAAGTTAATCTGCAATCTTAAATTCTTACCGTTATTTCAATTCTCTTGGGTAAAATTTCGCTTCTTTCCACCGAGCCAGGCAGTCAGGATAGCTGTTCGCTCTTTTCTTCTCTTGTTCAACGCGAGAGTCGGTTGATTGGACTTTTTATAGCCCGTTAAAGGTTGAATTCCTTAGCAATGTTGTTGAGACAGTGTTGACCGCTGCTGATCATTTACAGTCAGACTGTTTTGTTTGATCAGGCCTTTCTTGGCGTTTAAAAACTTTGGAATATTTATTAAAGATATTATCAAATTGAAATTAAATTTCACTCATAGTTAAGATAACTATATTAAAGGCCTTAGCAAAAATGCTATGGGGGTTTTGATAATCACGTATTTCGTGATTATCTGTCTCTATAGACGATTTAATCGTGTAGCCGTTATCATTGTCTACAATATATTCAGACGAAATGTGTCGTGATCATTCCAGGCACTTAATCACGACACATTTTCTCTGAAAATAAAGAAATTTTAATTTCGTGGTTATTCCAATTACGTAATCACGAAAAAAATTGTTTGAAAAATAGTGAAATCTCAATTTCGTGGTTATTCCATTCACTTCATCACGAAAAAGTTTGTATGAACAATAGTGAAATCTTCATTTCGTGGTTATTGCAATAGTAATCACGAAAAAGTTTGTATTAACAATAGTGAAATCTTCATTTCGTGGTTATTCCAATCACTTAATCACGAAAAAGTTTGTNCTGTGTCGGTGATAGATTGTGTCGGTGATAGATTTTTTCTGTGTCGCCTGATAGATTGTGTCGGTGATAGATTTTTTCTATTTTTTGTGTCGGTGATAGATTTTTTCTGTGTCGGTGATAGATTGTGTCGGTGATAGATTTTTTCTGTGTCGCCTGATAGATTGTGTCGGTGATAGATTTTTTCTATTTTTTGTGTCGGTGATAGATTTTTTCTGTGTCGGTGATAGATTGTGTCGGTGATAGATTTCTTCTGTGTCGCTGATAGATTGTCTGTGCAAGTGAGTGGAAGAAAGGGAAAGAAAGGCGGAAGATGAAGTGACTTTTTAATGAATGTGTGAATAGATAATGGACAAAAGGGCTTGTATGTGCATGGAGAAAACATGGAAATTGAAGGTGATGAAGACATTAGGATGCGTAGAGGATGTAATTACAGGGAAAGGATACTGAAGTGGGAGATAAGAATAATTACATTCTAATTCACTGCGTTCAAACGAATGTAAAATATTTTCCGTTTAAATTCCGAGTACAGACAGAACAACAAGATAAATGGTTGGTTCGCTACGGAACCAGACACTCGCTTTATTGAATACTACTTKAACATAACGTACACAATATAATATTAATATAACCCAATCATTGAACTTAATTTATAAGTCTAATGCTTCTGTTACTTTAAGCCTATTTTCAAGAGTGTTTCAAGGACATACATATCCTTAGCAACATCGGTTTTCCACCGACCATGTAACTTTAAAAGACGATCTGAAATGCTGCTATCGTTAGTTACTACGGTTGTTATCCCACCGGACCTTAAATTGTGGAGGCCGTACATCCTAGGATCATGGCCTATAGTTAAAACCAAAAACAATCTTTGAAAATCTCCCGACATCTAGTATATGATAACGCCTTGCTTTTTAACTTAAAACCTGTTTTCGATTTGGTTAAACCACGAAAAAGAGCTAACTTGCTTGATAATAATAATAATAATTTAACCGGACACTGAATACCTAGAGGATGACCGAGCGATAAATACAGTATTTCCCTTACGATAAACGTCAGTTTTACTTTTACTGACTGTTATTTTTAGACATTTATCATCGAAAATTAGATCTATAGGCTTAATATTGCTTAACTCATCGTAACGAAGGAAACCAGCGTAACCTATACAACATAACGTTGCTAAACGTAAATCTTTCACATTAGCATCATACATATCAATTATTTCTCCTTATTATTGCTAAGCTTAAAGGTTCTTTCTTCTTGACTGGGGCTTTCTTGGCGCGCCTCGCAGATTCCACCAAGTTTCTACRTATTCCATTATCCAAGGGATTCATCGTTGCTAGAGGACAGAAACAGTGAAGCCATTTGAGTGCAGCGTGACATCGGCTAATCGTGTTCCCAGATCTTCCATCTGTGGAGAGCTCAAATAGATACATAGTTAAAATACTCGTGCAAAGCGGTATCACAGTAGGTACTTTTCTGATTTGACACCATCTAAAGAACTTCCTGATTTCTCTCAGATAGCATTTATCAGTAGAAGGAGCACGTGACCGCATCAGCGCTTCTACGAGTTCGGGAAAATTCTGCCGAAGGTGCTCGTCAACGGTGTCCCAACAGGGGCTGCTTTTAATCGACTGTAAATGAAATAAACACAATATACAGGTTATGATTGAAATCAATTCACATATGACAATATATACCATCGCTTTCAAGTTCTAACTATCATCAGGCAGTAACCATTCCATTGAAGTTTTGCGAGCCCCGTAGGGATTTAGTGTTACGCCCATGAATAAGGGCTACCCTACCCCATTCAGTAATGGAATCTTTGACAAAGTTAGCATAGACCCCCCCGGATCAAAGGCCAGAAACACGACGCAGGCCAATAAGGCGCTATGACTGTGCCGACCCCGTTAGCTGCCTTCATGAAATGCAGAACCCTAGGTAACAGGACAACAGGAGGAACCATTAAGCAATTTTCTCCACTTAGATCTTGTACAAAAAAGTCGATACCGCTTGTTCCAGGATTCCAAAAATCTCGAAAAGAACTTATCTACTTTCTTGTTATAAAACGTAGCGAAACAGTCTAAGGTATGGGGACCCCACCTTCCTTCGATTACTTCTAAGAACCCCGCGGAAAGCTGCTAATCGTCTGTGTCTATGAAACTGCTTATAGCATCAGCTTGTTCGCTTTCCGTACGAGGTATCCATTCTACTTCCAATCTGATATTCTTATGTACACACGTTTGAAAAATGTTTATAGCTAAAGCATGCAAATCAACCTTCATACTTCCTACTTCCACTATTTTCGCTGCGCCCTGATTGTCTGTAAACCATTTTACATGCGAGTTCTCGAGTATCGGGCCAAAAGATTCCAGTGAATATAGAATAACACTTAACTCTCGACACGTCGAGCTTTTGCAAATTTCACTCACTTCCCACAGTCTGTGACATATATGATCCTGGTCTAATGTTACTATGGCGCCACAGCCTGTGCTGCTGGCGTCGGAATACGCAATACAATGTGGCTTGGATTCAACAAAACAATTCCGTACCTTCATGTTACTAATATTTTCCTTCCAAAATAGAATTTCCTCAACACAGTACCAATCTAATTGGTTTTTCTCCAGTTCTCCGCGCAGGCAATCCAAAGAATACAATATCTAGTTAATATACGTGAAATGTTACCGAGGACAGGAACCGTTGAAATCATTTGACCAGTAAAGGATGCTAACAATCTTGCTGAAACGATGTACTCTTAATTGACCGATTATACTATCAATGGTGTTTAACATTTTCTCCACCCTTCTAGGGGTTATGCCTAAAGTACCATTAAAGCTATCCAAATCAAACCTAACCAGGTTATTCTCTGACACGGTGTCCATACAGATTTTTCATTATTCGTAACAAATCCTGAACTCTTTAGATCCCCTTGGACTTAATAATAATAATAATAATAATATAATAATATGTGGTATTTATATAGCGCCGATATCCTCTGAGTTCAAAGGCGCTTCACATGTATAGATCATTTCACACGGACCGCCGTTTAAGGCGCAATTGGCAGCCACGCGGCTTACAATCATGATGAATGAATTTACGACCTAGACGTACCGCCGATTCATAATCCGATTCTAAAAACAAACCATCGTCAAGGAAAAGAGCTAGACTATTGTTTTGCAGTCTCCAATACTTCACTAGTGGTCTTAACAATTTTGTAAATATGAAGGGAGCTGTGCTCAATCCAAAAGGCAACACGGTGAAAATGTAAAATCTTCGACAATTTTCTTTGCTCGATTTCCATGAATATCCTAGATAAGCCTGGTCCTCCACTGCAATTTCTATATGGTGATAGCCACTTTTCAGATCAAACGAGAACATAAAACTACCGGGATTGAAATAATTAAGTGCCACCTTCCAATCTTCATATTTGACATGAAGCTTCCTAAGACAATCATTTACATGGCGTAAATCCAAAATTAACCGGTTTTTTTCCCCGCTCGCCAGAACAGAGACTGCTGATAACGGGTTTACCACGAACGGTGGCCGCTGACATTCAACAACTCGATTCGTATTAATGAGTTCCTTAATAGCATCGTCCACAAAGAGCTTGTGCTCCAAGGCTGACTTATTGTTTCTAAGATGAATATGATCGGGATAACACACGAACGGTAACTTGTAACCAGACTCAATAACGTCACCAAAATAAAATCGCAGGCTCCTATGTCCTTCCAAAAATTAACATGTTTCCTTAGATTACCTTTAACTTSAACTTCAGAAATCAAATCCGATTCGAACTCGTARTCGGTAAAACTATCACAATGTACCTGAGTTAGAACATCAACGAAGTTAGGCTCATTACTTGGCTGCGCTTGTTCCTCGGTCGTCCCTTTTGAAGGGTATCTACACTTGTTTGAAGCACTGTAGGTACTGGCGTATGGAACTCTGCAATCCCTGGCCCAGTGTCCGAACTAGTTACATCGGTAACAGATGCTGTAATCCAGTTGCTGTAACCCTGAATTCCTAAATAAGTAAGAGTGTAGTATCAGGCGCGACAAAACCTACACATCAAACCTTACATTGGGTGGGTGGGTGGGTGGGAAAATATCTCATAAAAAACCGAGTGTCCGTTCCTAAAGCGTGAGTGAAGAAATAACTGTTTTCACCCCTTATATACCCTTACTAGGAATGCACGTGGAACGTGCAAATGCACTGCCTATATAAACAGTTTTATACAACTTTTCAGAAAATCAGACGTTTTGATTGGTTGGCTATCGTGTGTTATCAAAGTATAGATACACGGATTACGTCAAAACTAATTGTTTGTTGTATAAAACAGATAGATCTCATTTTTCCGTGTGTGTGTACTCTAATAGATACACAGATGAC